CCTCTGCTATCAGAGTTGTTTCCAACTTCAAGTATTCTAAATAGAACTTTTGCAAAATAAAATTTAGAAAATGAAACACATTTCTAATGAATCCTAAGGTATATTTTATCACTGAGAAGACAACACTATATCAAAAATGCTGAAAGCGACGCCATACCATTAGTGTGTTGTATATCGCGGGGTAAAGTGCAGTAGAGTGTAGTAAAAAGAAAAATATAAGTGGAAGACTTTACTCACTAAGCTGTTTATCATGCAAGCACCATGGATGTATGCAAGGGCGCGTTAGTGATGAGTGGGTGCTATGGTACTCATAAATTTAGTGGTGCATTTGGAAGAGTACAAGAAGGAAGTTAGTGTAAGGATGTGATTAAATGGGACGCAAAGGAACGGTCAGGTTCGCGGGCGACCTGACAAAGATATCAATAATACGAAGTACGTCGACCTGTAGGCTTTTCTAACGTGCGGCTGTACAGGCATGCTTCCACTTCAAAGTCAATTGCTTTACACATGCACACACTAACCCACTGTAAGTACCGAGTAACACGTGACAGTGCTGAGGGTGGTAGAAGAAATAGAGTGCTTGTAAAGCTACGCGTCGGCTTAGGAGTTGGACTACTTCGTTATATCGACGCTGTAGTTCACCTTCTCGTGAACATGTCTCTCCTCTGCTTTTGTCTTCTTAGATTGACTTTTATCTTCTCACCCTTTGCTTCTCACCATTTTGCCGCACGTCGCATACTCATGAATGGGAATCCACCGGTCCATCCTCGTCGTCGACCCAAATACCTGCACATGTGGCCCTCAACTATATTAACTCTCTTAATGGTTAAAGCCTGAAATCGGTGCAATTTTAGGTAGAAATCACTGCATTTATTTAGCCATCGCAATGGGGATAATCCAACTGTATTTTGCCTTATGTGGTAGTCATTGCAGCTAGTTCCAGGTGAGTTGGAGGCTAGATGAGATGCAGCTATATTCATGCGTGGCTTGAAGAGGCTTTGCAGTCGCAGTTGCAGTGTATTTGTTACTCAGTCGCACGCCGCACCTCGTG